CGGAGATGAGGACCGCAACCCTAGAGTCGGATTCGACAGACTTTCGAGCAAGGGAACCTTTACCTTTACCTAACTGCATACTAACATTTTGTTTAAAGCTGTTATGTTCACATGTGGCACCACACAGCTATTCTGGCTAGTGCTGAAGTAGAAAACACGCTTGCCGCAACAGACATGTAGAATCTGAAATTCTTTTGAGAATCAACATGATGGGTAAGATTACTTAGACAAAAACTAAAATTAAAAGATCATGCATGTGCCCTGATGGTGTGCATTTTCTAAACCGAGCAAACTGGATTGATACATTCTACCTTTAGTGCTCAAGCACTGGTACCCAAATAAGAAATGCATGTGACGGGTGTATCAGTTGTGAATGGCATATATCCCTTTACTTAGTTTCCCCTTAAAGGGTATGGGGGGGAACACAACTGCTTATTTAAAAGTTGTGAGGGAGCACTGTAAAGCACAAATCTGCATAGTAAGGCATTTTAGCCCAGGTAAAGGTAAAGGTTCCCTTGCTCGAAAGCCAGTCGAATCCGACTCTAGGGTTGCGGTGCTCATCTCCGTTTCAAAGTCGAAGAGCCAGCGCTGTCCGAAGACATTTCCGTGGTCATGTGGCTGGCATGACTAAACACCGAGGCGCACGGAACGCTGTTACCTTCCCACCAAAGTGGTACCTATTTATCTACTTGCAATTTCTTGCTTTCGAACTGCTAGGTTTTAGCCCAGGTACTACTCAGTATTTCAAAAGTATGTTGTAAGATTGTGATAGTTTTTCTATAAAGACAACCGTTTCCCACAATAATTCAAATTTTATTATATTGAGGTGAGATACATTTAGGTGAGAAGGATTTAGAACACTGTTTTCTCAGTTTGTGCAAGTTTGTTCCACTCAACAAAATCTGAAGTCTTCCTCCAGTCTAAGGATAATTCCTCTAATTAAAGTGGCTACAAAACATTTGTAGATGATTCAGCCAATCTGTTTAGAAGCCCCATTTTTGCAACTTAACGCAAGTTATACCAGTTGCCTGATACTATTGTTCCTGGCACAATATGAGTAAATTAAGGAAACTTCAAACTAAGGTAGCTCAAACATACAGTGCAATCTAAGTAAGTTTCTGCCGAAACTTTTTGGTACAAGTGTGTTTAGGACTGCAATCCTGAATTCACAAACTTGAAACTATAGCAAACTCCATCTTACAGGTCCTGAAAAACCATGCTGAAGTATATACATCAAGACTAGTAGTTAGATTGTAAACAGCTCTCAGCCTGAAATGGGGGATGAACATATCCTAAAAAACTGACATAATGTATACAGACATGTATACAGACATAATATATACAGAGTCAGAACAATTAGTCATCTATTTTTGATGCTGTCCTCTGCCTAGTAAGCAACCGTCCAGGATTTCAGCAGAGAAAGGTATTTCCCAGCATCTGCTAACAAAGATCCTTTAATTGAATATACTAGAAAATGAATGTGGGACCTTCTATATGCAAGCTTTCCAGACAGTGGGTACAGATCCACAGCCGCTGCTCATCAGTAATCATTTGGGAGCTACTGATACCTCAAAGCAACCTAAGTGTTTTGGAAGCCTTCTTTCTGTTCCAGCTGGTGCTGTCCAGAGCCACCTGTGGGGGGGGGGGAAGAGAAGCTGCTAGCTCGCTAACTTGACACCACTAGCCGGATTTGCCCCTATTGTGAGCTGTATTTGTGTACCTGTGCCATTTGCAACAGACAGCTCTGTCAGCCCTTTTTACAAGATATTCCGCTGTTCTGCCATGAAAGCAAGCATTTGACGGAACATGGCTACTGGACTGCATTAGATGGGTCCCTGTGAGTGCAACAAGGCACTGACATTCATTTGTCTCCAGTGACTGTGTTTCTTCCCCATCTGTTCTTAGTGTCCATGCCTCTGACTGCTCTGCTCTTAGTGACAGTGCCTCTTCTTTATCTTCTAAGATGTGCGTTATTAACTAGGGCTTGCTTTGCAAAGCATAATGTGTTGCCTTATAATATTTTCTGTAACCTTTTTTTGGAGGAGAGTATAACTCTCTTCTAGCTGGGTTTTTAACTGAGTCTATAGCTGGGTTTCAGAGCTATGGGGACCCCTGTTGCCCAAAAGCACCCACAACGGTCAAATTATTCACTATCTTCTTAGCCCTCCAAGCAGAGCAAAATTAACTCCTATTTTGTTCCTGTCAACCTCCCAGAGCACAAAGTTTCCATATTGAATGGTTCCCTTAACTCTGCTTCTGCATTTCCAGTTATAGCTCCCCTAGAAAAGTCTCCTGTCATTGATTACCCTGAAACCAGTAGAGGTTCAGATCCATTGGGTGCAATCAAGGAGAAAGTCAGTTATAGTGTCATACAGACTGCAGAAATTCTGCTTTTGTGTGCTAGAATGTTGGCGCGTATTTTTGAACAGTTAAACTCAGTGCTGTTCAAACCTGTCTTGTTAATACTATTAAGGAATCGAGACCTGTTTTAAAAGCTTATTCTCAGGATTTGTATGATTTTTATTCCAAGAATATCAATGACCCCAAGGCCCATTTCATTATGGCATTCTAAATTTCAGGCAGTACTTGACAGCCCTTTTGAAATTCAAGAACAAGACCTTTGACCTATATACAAATCATGTTCTTTCACCAAGTCACAGCTTCTTAGAGAAGTTATTGAGTTATTGTGGCATTAACCGATCAGTTTTCCTGTATTACACAACACCTGCTGTGAAACCTGCAGAGTGTGTGTGCAGAAAAGCTCCAAAGATACAAGTTCATATCAGCGCCAAATGAAATGTTTTTCAGTGAATCAAAAATGAAATGGAGCAAGTACACGCAACTCAGCTAATGATGATGAAGATTCTCACTAACAATTTAATTTTGTTGCAAATACTGTACCTGCAATCTGTCATCAGAGCATCAGTCTCAAGTGATATAAATGCATGTGTGTGAGTAAGCCCAAAAGACATTCAGTTATTACCACGGCGAAACAGAACCTCGAAGTTCAGAGGCTGTATGTCTCCGAAAATCAATTGCTGGGGAGAAACAACACGGGAAGGCTTGAACCTCAACGATCCTTTTTGCTATGACCATTCCTTCTCAGTCTTTTTGGCCTCAGCATCTACTTCTTTGGTCTATAATCAGCCCACTTGCCCTGCCATCTTAAAAAGGATCTGTTTACTCTTATCTAAGAGCTGTTTTCCAAGAGAGTCAGCTTGGGTATATTTGAAGGCATTCTACTGTCTACATGCCTGAAAACTATTGAGATTGCTTTCCGTTGCAGAAGGATACACAAAATAATTCTCTGTTACCATCTTTCTCTCTATTTTCCCAGACCTTTGAGCTACATGTGGCCCAAGTGTGTGTGAACATGTAGAATTATCTAACATATACACAATATGGTCTTAGATTTAACTTTGTACCATAACTGTGTTTTGGTATGGTATTTCATTCAATGAAACCATCTCTGACTATTCTACTATATGCCAGCCTGCATTTCATTCCAAGCTTCCTTTAGAGTCGCTATTTTATCACAGATTCTTACATTAGATGGCAGTGGTATGACGAGTGTTTTGTGTATATTTCTGCCAAGCTGGATGCTAAAATCTAAATTAGCAGCTCCTGGCCCCGGTCACAAGGGCCGGATATCGCGGGGGGGGGAGGCGTGGCTAATTGCCCCGGCGCAGTTTGAGCCGCGATTACGCGATCAGACGTGTCGGCGGCACACCACGGGTCCTTCCCTCAGCGCCGGCGGGTAAATGAGGGACCGGAGGGGAATGCCGTGTGCCGGTGCGATCACACCACGGGAGTCTGGAGGCAGCCCGTGGCAAACGTTTACTAGTACCTTGGAGGTACTAGTTTTTTAACTCGCATTGTCGGCGGTAAGCCACGGGTGCGCTCCACTTCCCAGATGTTGGGGTGTGATCACGCCCGGATAATCCGCCCACCATCCGTGCCTCTCCCACAGCAACTCTGCCGTGTGCCCTGCTATGGAAAGAGCAAGGTACAGCAGTAGTTCTCTCTCCATCCTGCACTTTGATATTTTGTGTGATTGAGTCCAACAGGAAAAGCAGGCTCATTCATGCAAGACCCTTGTCCAACTGACACATACAGTGACATCCTGACCAGGGCTTTTCGGAGGCACCTGGCTGACAATGATAAAAAGTATGATAATAAAGCAGATAACACATTAATCTGATACAGTAAACCATCTCTTATAGTCTTATGACAGTGCAAGAGTTAACTTTTACTTTTTCATCCTGTTGTTCGTCCATGACATTCAAAATGATGTTTAGACTAAGACACAACAATACACCCAAAATCTACAAATTCAGCACTGTTAAGCGCATTTTTTAAAGCTGCAGGTGAATGAGGAAGAGGAACAAACACTTGCAAGTTTTAAGAACTCCATGTTTAAAAAGTCTTTGACATCTGAAACAAATCTTGTGAAGGAGTGCTAATGTGGTGTGTTAAAGTATCGGACTTCAACCTAAATGTTATTAGATGACTTTGAGCTAGTCACTCCCAATTCAACCCACCTTACACGACTGTTGGAAGGTTTCAAATGACAGGAGGAACTCAATATGCACCATCCTTCTCTTGAGCAAAGACAGAATAATGTGACACACCAATAGAGTACTGAACACTGGCCCTTAACTTGCCAGTTTATACATGCAAGACTTTGATATGAAATAGTGTCTAATCAGATTCACCGTCCCTTTTACAATCTGAGACGACAGTGACCTTATCGCTACATCCTGCCAGATATACAAATTGGTCTTGAAAGAGTCTCCTCACCTACAATGAGGCTTACTCCTAAAAAGAAGAAGAGTCGGTTAGAAAGTTGCAGCCTAAATCACTTGCTGGCATCAGGATAGGCAGGACGTCGCTGTGAAAAAGAAGGACGCGACCTTCGTTCTTCAGGGGACCAGCCAGGCCTCTACTGCCCTTTCACCCGCCACTGGCGTGACTCCGACCACTAGGCCAGGGACACTCACCTGCTGCTGCTGCTGCTGCTGCCGCCGCCGTGGGAGACTGCGGCCCGCGCGGAGTGGAGCGGCGCCGGGGAGGGCGCGATGGTGGCCCTGCCGCGTCCCGACCTGAAGAGCCAACGGCAAGAGCCATGCCGCCACACCGTCCTCAGGAGCCCAGCCATGATCCCCTCATGCGCGCACCACGCACCGGTCAAGGAGGAGCACGTGACAAGGTTCAGACCCAACCACTCTGAGCGGAAGGGGAGGTGATTTCCCAGAAGCCCAGGGCAGAGGGAGCTCCGCACTCTGGGAGGAAGTCACGTAACGTCAGCTAGAAAGGCAAAGAGTTGGGCTTAAAAGCGGCTCTTCCCTTTTCTCTTCATTACCTGAACCTGAAAGATCCAAATTTTGTTCTGAAAGATTACGACAGTGTATCCCCCCGCCCGTACTCCTTATAAAATGGTATGGCCGCAAACGGCGGGATTTGTTTCGCAGAGCTCAAGGGGGTTTAGAAACAAACTTGGGCCAACAGAAAATAACCCGAAGTGTTATTGCATGGTTATTTTCATAATTGCGGTGCCGCTGCTAAGGCGGGACGGAGACGCTTGCTTAAGTAGAGCATTGACCTGTAACCACTGGAGGAGGCAAATAAAGTGAAACGGCGTCCTTCGGCGCGGAAAAGCAGCTCAAAAATACTTTTACTTCGGGGAAGCTATCGAGCGCCCTGCCGCTTTTTTTTTTTTTATTATGTGTGCCGAGTGGAAGTTACGTCGGGCAAGCCCGTCTCCCTCCCATATACGCATGCGCTCTCGACTCTCCCAGTACTTTATGTCCCTGCATCTGCGCGGCTTAACTGAGGGTTTGCGATGTTGGGCAGAGAGGCAGATAGAGAGAGAGGTCTCCTTGGTGTCGGCGTTTCCTGACTGTGCAGTTTTCCCTGTAGTTATTTCACCCTTTTCTTACTCTCCGAACGCATCTCACAGTGTGGGGGTGGGTTAGGACGAGGCACAGTAAGTATCCCGAAACCACACTTTCTCTTAATACAAGTGGCCATTGAAATGATAGCCGCATACCCGTGTTAACGTGCCTGCGCGCACGAACCTACGCCTCATGCAGTGAAAACGTAGGTCATACTAACTTCTTTGTAGAACTAGAGTTAGATAATCGTAGGCCCAAAATCTACGAAACCCTAAATGAAGACAAGTTTTACTTTCCTTTCTTGGTCTGTGACACTTCGGACTCCTCCAGGAAGGTGGAAAATCCAGAGTAAAGGAGTTGCCAGTCTCCCAAGTGGTGCCTGGAGGTCTCCCGGAATTACAACTCCTCTCCAGACTACAAAAATTGCTAAAAATGGTGCTTTTGAGGGTGGACTCCATGGCATTATATTCAGCTGAAGTCCCTCTACCCTAAACCCCAACCCCAATCTCCAGGAATTTCCCAACCTGGAGTTGGCAACCATATGATAAAATGAATATTGATTGTGGCTAATTCAACCTGATTTATAGTCTGAAGCATTTTGGTGTTCACTGTGTCACTGCAGTAGGAAATAATTATAATGAAGAAAATATCAAAGATGGTGTTCCTCTCACAAAAGTATAATTTATTTTACATTTTCGTGGGTAGGATGCTAATTCATCTGGCAGCTCCCCTCATTCTTAATTCCTCTCCACAGCGCTGCATCGCCACAGCAACCCTACTTCACACGAAGAAGCCAGGAAGACACTGTAATACCATAAATCTTACAGTTTCCAGTAATTACAACCATTCAGTGTGAAATCTCTAGATGTATTGTTTGGAGGAGGGGTACAGAGTCATTGAAGTGATGAATGGCAATGGGAAGTTCCAGAGCTGGTGCAGTAAAATTTAAGCATCTGATAATATGTTAACATTGTTAATAAACTGTCAGTGAAATATCATGGGCTAGTTATTTTAATATTAAAGTCAGGAAAGTGAATAATGAAAATGGAGTAAATAGCTGGAAATGTGTTTAATTAGAATCACTGTCATCACTTTATTGGGAAGAAAAGCAGTCTTATAGGATACTTCTACCACTGGTAACTCTACAAACCACATTGATAAAGATAACATGTTGATTATGTAAGTCGCTTGGATACAATGCAATACTAAGGATAATCAGAGTTTTGCCATTGATTTCAGTGAGATGTTGACACAGTGTGCTGACGTCCCTCCCTCCCTTACTATGTTTATTTTCTATGGAAATTTGATATTTTGGGGGTGGGTTATTAAAAAAAAAATAGGTGGGGACTGTCACAGAGCAGATCTGCTGGCATACTTCACTGTTCTTGGCCTGCTAGAGATGTTTAAATGACTAAACACTAATCAGAGGTGTCAAATATATGGCCTGTAGGCTGGAACCGGCCTGTGAGCAACTGGTCATTACCTTTATTGCCAGATGACTGAGTCTGTGCATTATATCCCTGTATACTGTCCCAGTGCTAATGATTAAAGGGTGGTGGAAGTGGGCAGGTGGGCATCAGGGAGATTGTTAAGGAAATACTGTAAGAGCGTTCATGTTTAAAACGTGTGTGTATTTTGAGTAAAAATAATATTGTTAATTGGGTTTGCTGAGTCCTTTATAAAGTTTATAGCTGCTGTACCTGGCATTACATTTTATGGTACACATGGCTGGCCCAACAAAGTGACATTCAGTCAGATCCAGCCCTCGTAACAAATGAGTTCATCACCCCTGCACTAAGTGCCAGCTATTTGAAAGAAACTGATTAGATGGGTGAGCAGTTGACATCTGCCCATTTGCCTGCCAATTGTTCACAGGAAAACTTTTTAAAGCCTGTTTACAGCCCAAAATGTCCAAAAATTGAGGTGAACCTTAGAGTGGAGGGCATTACTCCACAGCGACAATATGGAAATTCTGACATATGCACATGCCTTGCTCCTCTTCTAGCAGTGGGTCAACATATTGATATAGCACATGTACAACAAAAAAGGGGAAAGGGGTTGGTGCTGTGATGCTGCCAATGACAACAGTGCCTTCACTCAAAAATCCTTATTTCTTTTAAGTTACATCTATAAAAAATAAACTGACATAACAACTGGGAAAATGCAGAAGAAGGAAAGAGGTGTGGAAGCCTCATGTTCAATATGATTCTGATGGTAGCAGAGCACCTGCTAAGAAAAGCAGGAATAAGTTGTTCTTGCAGAAAACCCTTATATCTGTGTTTTGTTTTGCTCTCTTCTTGACTTTGGTTTCTGACTTTTAATTAGCTGTAAAATCTTGGTATTGCTTTTAAGGTGTTGCTGTATTGTATTTTTTTTATGTATTTACTAGCAGCTGTCTCCAAGGCCTGTGGCTGACATGAAGGATAACAAAGACAGAAATAAAGAAATGAGCTTCTCTTTCACAATCTCATATGAATTGGTCTGAATTTTGGTGTCAGCATGACAGGCCCTTCTTCAGGAGACAACTCATGTGGAGGCAAGATTGTGCATTCCTTGGACAGTTCCTGCACCTTCCTTGGACAGCAAAGGTGACAAACAAGCAAGTATTGGAGCACATAAAACCAGACATGCCGTGGGAAGGAAAAAATAACAAAACTGTGACTGACTTTTTTCAGCCATGTCATGCAGAAGAACTCACTAGAAAAAGCAATTATGCTTGGATTGGTTGGTGGCAAAAGGAAACTGGGCTGCCAAAGAACATGGTAGCTAGACACTATAAAACTTGACATCAACCTGAGCATGGAACAACTCAAAGAAACTGTACAATATTGGAAAACGTGGGAAGAGCTGGCCCATAGAATCGCCAAGAGTCAAACATGACTGACATCATCAGTACATGGCCTTCTTGTGAGCTGGCCCAGAATTCTTGAAATCCTTCTCTCATGCAATTTGCTTGGCTCCAAGAAGACAGGAAAAACCTCATTTATTTTAAGTGGCATGTAGAAACTGTGCTGACGTATATTACTGATTTTGTTCACCATATCTTTGACTTCTTATGCCCCCTTTTTTATGTTTCTTCTGCTACATGGTTTTTTAATGTTATGGATAATTAACCATTAATTAATTGAAATAAACTATGATTTCTAGTAGAAAATGGGTATAAAGAAATAAATAACATCATAGGGAAGGAGACTAGCAGATGGATGGATGCCTGAGCATGGAACAACTCAAAGAAACTGTACAAGATTGGAAAACGTGGAAAGAGCTGGCCCATAGAATCGCCAAGAGTCAAACATGACTGACATCATCAGTACATGGCCTTCTTGTGAGCTGGCCCAGAATTCTTGAAATCCTTCTCTCATGCAATTTGCTTGGCTCCAAGAAGACAGGAAAAACCTCATTTATTTTAAGTGGCATTTAGAAACTGTGCTGACGTGGCTGATCCACACAAGGGAGAGGCAATACTGAAATAAAGAATTGGGAGTGGTGCTACACAACAGAAACAAGATATTTAAAATCATCTAACTTGGATGTATTAACTTCTGTTCATAAACATACTGTAAGAATTTATAGGGTCACCCAACTGAACTGGCTGACTTCAGAATCAACCAGAGGAAAACACTAATGATAAGTAACAACAGCAAAAATCACACCCTATATTACCATCTTAATTAAAGAAGTTTATCAGCAACATATTTATATCTTGGCTTCCCTCTACCAGGGATCTTATGTTTCCACCCTGATCACAACATCTGCTTTATGAAAGCACCCTTCTGCTTAATCCCATATGAACACAAATGTTCATTCTTTTCATGTTGTGGAGGGTTCTGGAGAAGAACATGGAAAAACCCTTCCCCTATCAATGAAAACATTCCACACAAGTGGAATTTGCTGTTGTCCTCAGCACCCATAGTAGTGACCAGGTGTTAGAATCTTATTGTTTCCAAGTTATTTTTCATGAATACGAACACTCATCAGCTAATATGGAGGAACTGAGCTTCTTTCTCTGGATTAGTGCTCTCCTTAAACATCTGTTCCATACCATTGTCATCAACTCTAGTTCCTCTTTCCTACTAGAATGGAATCTATTTTTGTTTTGTGGATTGTTGGTGCTGGAAACTTATGCCCAACCAAGTCATTTCTAAAGCCCAGTTATTCACAGCAGAGTTTGGGCTGATCTAATGATCATAAGGCGAACTGACAAACATTCCACAGAGTTAGACTGAGAAATGGGACTTAAAAAAAATTATTGGTGTTTTAATACATTATGTTCAGATACATTACATCTTCAAAGTTTCTGTATATGAGTCCTTTATA